ATTGCGGAGCTTGGTGCGCATCTGGAATTTCGTATTATCCAAAATGGTGATTTCCCGGGAACGATGCGTATACAGTCTCTTTCACTGTAAAAACTGAGGCGTGTCGAGAGGCTAGGCATAGCCAAATTCAATCGTGGTCGCCTGCCGGCTTCCAAAATTTGTGGATAGATCTAGTCCTTGAATCGGTAGTGTGTGAACACGGCCCCGATCGTGGTCGCGTGATCCTATCGAGCGTTCCGGTCGCACGATCGCGAAGTCTGAACACGGTCTATCACGTTCCAGCATTCGCAGAGAACAAGACTGTACATTCTTTTGAACTTCCCACATCACGGATTTTCCCCTTACTATTCCGCTGACAAAATAGGTTAGTTTCAGCTGTTCGCCTGGACTTTATATTGAAACGTTAATGGTCGAGAGATTTTCGGCTTCACATGTACAAGTGCTGCGACCTGTACCTAGGCTTGAAGTCATCCAAGCGCGCAAATTTCGTTTTGACCTCACCTCGCCCTGTGCGAGAATCGAGCATTAGGACTTTTCAAGGGCATGCGTGTCCCGAAGCATGCGCTCGGTGTTGCCCTAGAGGGGCTGAGCGATTGTGTAGTCGATGTTCTAACGTACGAGGTTGCCATTCGACAAATGTTGTTGAAAAATTCCCAGAAGGTTGTGGCCCGTAGAGCTGCCGGATTACTCGTTGCTGGTGTCTATGTCCGTTCAAACGCCTTTTGCTGTTTTTGCTCACTTACTAACAGCTTAGGTGAGTGACGTCCGCTCATGCGGTGGTGGACTGGCCTTTGAGGACGACGATCTAGTGAGAACATCAGGCTCAGTTCAGCAAAGGGTTCCGACTAACAACCTTTTTGGCACATTAAATCAACAGCTGTGGAGTTTACAGTAATGCCAAGGTTTTAGAAACAGAGGAGTTGGACACTTTTGTGTTTGTTTCGCGGCTAGGAACTCATGTCTGTCACGTGATGGCTAAAAAGCATCTAAAGTCGTGTAATCACGACCCTTTTTCAAAGTAGCAGTGGGTCATGCAAACTATTTGGAAAATATTCAGCTTGTTTGCGGGCGCCACGGGTAAAAAAGAGCACTGGTACAGAATTGTGTAACGTAGAATGAACGGTGTAACCCTCACTTAAAATACCTATAGTTGATATTGTCGCAAACCAGCAGGACATTGTATGGAGGAGTGGAACGAGTTCACGTGCGGCAGAGCTTTCTAACGATGTTGGCCGGTTCAGATGGAAAACAAGAAGGGCTAGAAAACGCTGCGTGGGATCTCATTCCACTCCTCCCGCACAGGCCTCCCAGACAGCTGCATCTCTATTCTATTTTTGTTAGAAGTATTTTTTTACCAATTTATTTAGCTTCATTATTATTCCAGCACTGGGCCAAAAATTGATTCCCATGCATTTTCAGGATCCCGACATTTGCAAATATTACATAGTGGGATTCTGTCCGCACGATATGTTCACCAACACGAAAGCAGACTTAGGTTTGTTTATTTTCCTCTTTTTCCCAAGTGAAGGGTAGACAGTTGTGGCATTAACGCAGTTTGGGGCCGCTATACTACGTCGTGTTCCTTTCTCTGGGACTGTGCCTGTCCTGCGAGATCCACGGGCCCTCTGAAAGTGTGTTCATATTTTGCGGCAGCGTTTTTAGCGACTAGGAAACGTATGGGCATCGAAGCATCGTCTTGTGCATCCACCACCAGCGTTTGGAGCATCCACCAACTTTCTGAGCGATCAGGAAACTATAGTACTGATCTAGCGTTTCGAATGTCCGCCAGCGTCTTAAGCGGCTAAGAAAGTATAGATATCGATTGAGGCCGTCGCCCAAAGCGCTGCCTATACTTCCTATAGTCGCCAAAAACGCTCAAAACGCTAATAGACGCTCAAGAAGCTACCGCAAATTATGAACACACTCCAATCGCGCGCGCTCTGATATGCAACTTGGATAGGATAAGGGAAATAGAAGCGCAGCCGCGTGCCCCCCTTCTTCCCTAGCTATGTTACTGCCATGATTTTTATGTGTGCTGTTATTTCTCCATAGATTCATTGCACTCTTGCAAGCCTCTCGTTAGCCATAAGTCCCCTACGTTCGGTGACGCCCATGTTAGGGTTTTGAAACTGTTTCGAACGAGATATCAGCGGTATCCTTATCCTTGACTTTTCTTTGTTGACTTGACTCAGCTGATGACTAAATATGTTTACAGATCTAACAGTCTCATTTGTAGGTGCATGTCCTCGTGTGCACGATGACAATTTGCGACTGGAGTACCCGAAAAGTGACAAGTTTGAAAAACTTGGTTTTGAGAGGGAGTTCCTCAAGTTTTTGTCACGTTTGGACGAGGACAATCAAAGGAGAATCAGAAAGAATCTTGAAAAAATCAAAGCAGGCGAGGAAAATGGCCAGGTAATTTTTGCTTTGTGCTCTTCTTGACAATCGCCTTAGAGAACAACCAAGTTTTAATTTTTGGTTTTTTTTCAGAAGAAGGAAGACTTGAGAAAGTTACGAGATGAGCAAGAGATTGCGAGACTGGACGTAGAAATAAAGAGGTTCATGGCAGATGCGGAAAAGGTTTGCTTTTCTTCCTGACCACCAAATTTTTGTCGTCCCTTTAGTTCTAGCACATAATTTCGTTTAAGGCTGGTGAAGAAGGTCTGGTTGCCAAGTGCCAGGAACTTGTTGATAAAGCAGAACAACTTGAGAAGCAAAAGGCTGCGATTCGAGAGGTTTGAGATTTTATCCAGTTTTCCTGTTTGTTTATTTGTTGTATCTCTGTACTTTTTTCTCAACTTTAGTTTTCAGAGACTGAATAGCAATATACCACTACCCGCTCCACTCGATGAAACTGCCATTAAAATTATGGAGGTTGATTTTTTCATAATTTTATCCATACACTGTTGTGCCAGGCAAAAAAACCATGACTTCGGTGGGAGCGAAGGGGTACATCAAATGGCATAGGTTTTAGTCCAACGTTGAAGTGTTTGGACCTTCTTTTGCTTGGCGGATTCAGTAACTTTTTGAGAAATGTGTTCCAAATTGGCTTGATTCATATCGGCTTCGATAAACGGCATAGAAACTGTGAGGCAGCTTTCAAATCCGAGATGACGTGCTGGAATGATACAACAACGCTCCAGTACTATGGACCTCGACGCAGCTGCAAAAGGCAAACGATCGGCGCAAAACGCTTGTGTCTTGAGGTAGTATGGGGAACAGGAGGGCAAAGCTTTGCCTAATAAAGCAGTCTGGTATCGATCGGCATTAGCTGCTACCGATTTCGGAAATTG